TTTCTTAAGTCTTTAGTGTGTGAAGACAGTAGCGCAAATCCGTGAATGAATGTTCCCGAAGTGAAATAAACTTCAACTGAATAAAGTAGAATGGAATTGAATTAAAGTTGAATAAACTTCAACTTTACTATTCAGTGCACTGATGTCAGACTCATTTTGGAGAATAAAGTTTATTGTTAAATTGTTAAATGCCCTGCCTCCATTACGTATCCGTGAATGAATGTATCTCTGTCACGTCATTATAAGTGTTTGATCACCACATTTGAGTGATCATTGCAAAAAATTTGTTTATGTATATACTGTATTCTATACATATATATATATATACACATATATATATATATATAGTACCAGTCAAATGTTTGGACACACGAATGGGAAAGTGTCCAAACTTTTGACTGGCACTGTACTATAATATACACAAAGAATATCGGCCGATATATTGATATCGGCCTTTTTTTACTCCCCTAATATCGGTATCTGCCCCAAAAAAAACATATTGGTTGGGCTCTACATATGAGCGGGGTATTGCAATGCCTTTGGTAACATATTAAAATGACCGTAAAAAGCATGATTTACAGTTCAGTCACAGGTTTTCTCAAAAACAAAAAGCTTTATAAAATGACGAACAAAAGTATCAAAAGAGTCAAAAGTGTCAATTATTACATTAATTTAAACAATTATTATCAATCAATTATTATATTAATGAAATAACATATAAATATATTTTACTGTCTTAACTGTTTAGATTTTTATAATGCATTATCTTCTTGTTGACCCACAAGTTGTGAATTGTCTAAAGACTAAAAGGCATTCGCAGTGAAAATGGCAGCCCAATATCTAATCAATCAACTCTTTTACTCACCTTTTCACTGCCTATAGGCAACGCTAAAACAGTGTAGATATTCTTCTTCCCATCATACACTGGCTTTCGGTCACCAAAGAGCTGCGGTTTGAAATGCTGGACCATGTACTCCACAACCTCCCTGCGAAGAGTCACATTTAGGAGACAATGGACCATATGCACTTTCTTTAGTGCTCTTCTGCATTAAGATAAGGCAGCTCGGAAACTTCCAGTGAAGCGTCAATTGATGTTGTGGTATATATACTGTAGGTAGAGACTCTTGAGACCCTCACAGAAGCCTCTCCTGCCTCGCTCTTTTCAGAAACTGAGAAACAAAATAATTGCAACACCGTAAATGATGAAAGCGGCATTAACACACAGTTTCATGTTATTTAACAGCATAGCATTTTATATGGTAATCCCATAGAGTACCCAGACACGTAACTGTACATTTAAATGCTTACAACTAAACACTAGCGCAACCGTTTAAGCTAACGTTAGCAAGTTAGTTATGCTCTCTCGTAAACGACATCATAATGGTATTCTTGATAATCGATAGCTTACCTTCATAAGTCATGATTATAACTGAATATGTAAACAGGGTTGCCAGCTTTGGAGTGTAGCTGGAGTGAGATTAGTTACAGTTGTGCAGTGAAATTCACTTTAAAGATTCACTTTTCATTCATGAAGATCACTAACAAACGTGCCAAAAATTTGTCTTCTGATGGAAAACAAAGACTTTTTAAGAATGAAAATGGCATGAATTTAGCATTATAACCAGTAGATGGCAGCACAGGATCGCTCATCAGCTCAGCTGTCATTTCAACTCCCTAGTTTTTTCACGTCTTGCTTTTGGATTTATTCTAAAAATGACTTTAACACATTTTTGTGCTTTTACTGCACTGAAGTATAAAGTATAGCAAGTGCAGGAAGTCACAAAGTCTCATGTCATTTAAAAAATAAATAAATAATTAATCCCAGACACCAACAGCCTAGAAGGGTAAATTATTTAAATACTTAACTAGTTAACTACAAATTAAATAAGTTAATTATAAATGGTATAACAATTAAATAATGCATTCAATATTTTGAAATATTTAATATTTAATTTATCTTATGCACAGGTTTATGTCAGACAGTTCCTTCCATCCGTTGCTACAGTTATCACTGTCAATCAAAGCAATGGCTCGCGGAACAATTTAGCGGATTCACTCGCATATTTTTTTACACTTGCGTTTGTCATTTCTGAAACAGTATATGCATTCAATATTTTGAAATATTTAATATTTAATTTATCTTATGCACAGGTTTATGTCAGACAGTTCCTTCCATCCGTTGCTACAGTTATCACTGTCAATCAAAGCAATGGCTCGCGGAACAATTTAGCGGATTCACTCGCATATTTTTTTACACTTGCGTTTGTCATTTCTGAAACAGTATATAGTATATCGGAAATGACTGAGCTGGTTTTTTCAATACCAGGAAGTAACCGCGCATGTAGTCCATTGTGACTGACATATTCAGCAAACCTGATCTAAACATTATTTTGTGATGATGACTGGCTACTGAACATAGGCTGAATTTATTTCATGAAAAATACAGTAAAAAACAAATATTGTATTACAATTTAAAATAACTGTTTTCTATTTAAAAATATTGTAAAATGTAATTTATTTCTGTGATGCGCAGCTGTATTTTCAGCATCATTACTCCAGTCTTCAGTGTCACATGATCTTCAGAAATCATTCTAATATGCTGATTTGCTGCTCAAGAAACATTACTGATAATTAGAAAACAGTTGTGCTGCTTCATATTTTTGTGGAAAGTTCAAAAGAACAGCATTTATTTGAAAGAGATATCTTTTGTAAATTACACATTTTTATAAATGTATTTACTGTCACTTTTGAACAATTGAACGTGTCATTGCTGAATAAAAGTATCAACTAAAAAATCTAGAAAGAAATTAATAAAAAAAATCTACCTGACAGCTAAATTTTTACTGGTTATGTTAAATACTTATTAATGTATTACATAGTTTTAAATTATTACTTTAATACTTTTATTTATTTTATATTTGTTTTAAATTAATAAAACCTACATTTTAAACCCGCATTTAATTACTGGTGAAAGAATAAATGCACAAAAGCAGTGTTAAGTCGCTGGGGTATATTTGTAGCAATAGCCAAAAATACATTGTATGGGTCAAAATTATAGATTTTTCTTTTATGCCAAAAATCATTAGGATATTAAGTAAAGATCATGTTCTATGAAGATATTTTGTCAATTCCCTACCATAAATATATCAAAACTTAATTTTTGATTAGTAATATGCATTGCTAAGAACTTCATTTGAACAACTTTAAAGATGATTTTCTCAATATTTAGATTTTTTTGCACCCTCAGATTCCAGATTTTCAAATAGTTGTATCTCGGCCAAATATTGTCTTATCATAACAAGACAATATTATTTATTCAAGCTTATTTATTCAGCTTTCAGATAATGTATAAATCTCAATTTTGAAAAATTTACCCTTATGACTGGTTTTGTGGTCCAGGGTCACATTTGTGAACAAAAGGCAATGAATTATCTGTGCTCAGATTCTGGCTCAAACGTGCCCATGCAGTGGTGACGGCACGATGGAGTCACTTTCACACTCATCCTCACGCTTGTGCAGACACGTCAAGAATAAACCAGGCTTAAGTTGTATTTAACTCAGAAGGCAGGCAGCTTAGTTGAACTGAAATACAGTTATGGGATGAACAGAATTCAAGCGTTGCCTGTGCATGTCTACAGGAAGATATCCTTATCCTCAAACCTTCTCAGGGAAGAACAGCGTGAGGAGGTTTCTTTCTAGGTCACGCTTTATGTAATTGAGGTAACTAAAATATTTTAGGCCTTGCAACACCGAGCCATGCAAATCTGCAGGGTTTGATTCTAGTGACCTCAATGCTTTTAGAGAAAGAGCTAATAATAGGGGAAACTTTACCTCAACTCATGTTGAGGAAAGACCAGGCCTGACAGAATTATAATCAATTATTTGATCTAAACCTGATGCTTTGTGTTCTCCTGGAAATATTTTGTTGGCTAAGAAAAAAAAATGTGTTACTTGATATTAATGTCTTTTGTTTTCTTGACAGTGGGAATGCAAATTGGACTGAAGTGGAACAAAAATAGTATTTTTCATTTCATTCTACCTATGATTTTAATTTTGCTATGTGCCTGTCATTTTATCATTTAGTATTTTTCTATTTAGCTATAAATTTTATTGTTTTCAGTTTTAGTAATTTTAGTACTTCAACTTAAACCTTATTTATTTCAATTAGTTACTAAAGTAACATTTCTAATTTTTTAAAATATGTTTTTCCATCTAAAATTTTTATTTATTTTTTCACCTTCATTTCAATAAACAAAAAAGACTATAACAAAGTGTAACAAAAAAAAGACTAATTTGAATCCAATTCTACCTCTGATTCCAAATTCAAAGTGGAAAAAAATGAATTAGCTTTTATTTTCATATTTTCATGTTTTGAATTTTTTGTAATTTTCTAATGCGTTTTTGCCTTTTTTTAAATAATTTTATTAAGCTTATTTATGTGTATATATACACAACAAGATAAAATAAATGTATATAAAAAATGTATATACTGTATATATTAGGCATGGGCCGATTACCTGTTTCAAGGTATACCGCAATTTGAAAATTTCACAGTTTCAAAACGGCTAATATTTGTTAGCGCTGTTAACACATTTTAGAGCTGTAATGACAATACCATGATATTGTACTGTAGACTAAAGTGGAACACATTTTTTTCCCATGTGATTCTATACCTCGGATTCCAAATTCAATGTGGAAAAATTACTTTACAAGACAATTAATTTGCATGCTTATTAATTTAATCATTTATTAATGTGTGTATATATATATATATATCTATATCCCTAGGAGTGACTGTGGACGTTTGAGATGAAGGGACGTTTACCTGTTGACCCGTCGAGGACACTTATCAGGTTTGATGTCCACTTCATAGTGGTACACATCCATTTTTGGGATTTCCACCTCAAAGTAGTTGGCGAGCAGCTTGATGGGTTTGCCGACGGTGCCCATGCCCGGCCTGCGGGGCGCCTGGAACACCTGCTGCAGGGGGGGGGGGTACGGCCCGAGGGGGACTGCGGCCGGGAGG